AAACAAATAAATAATATATGGAAAAACAAAATAATGAAAAAATAAATAAACATCATCATTGTACTGCAAAATAAAAAATCGATGAGAGATCACATATGCTAAACAGACCGTTTCAATGGATTAAATAATTTTTTAACTCATTTTTTTATTATTTCTTTTTTTCACTATCGCTTTTCGTCAATGATTTTGGCTTTTCTGATAAATTTTGTACTTTTTCTATTCCCTAGCAGCATACAGATTTTACAGTCTAAAAAGATGATGAGTTTCGCGGTTAGGAAGTGATAAAGAATGTAGCTTAATGATAAGGCAAAATAAGTTATACAATGATAGGAGATGGAAGGTAAGAAATAAAATAAAAATACTTTTCTCTGTGTACCAAATACAGTATGCTGTAAGTAATTTATTTACTATCGTATTGATTTTCTTTGTCTAATCATCAATACTCACTTGATGAATCGATACATTTTGCATATTTCAGAATGATAACTGTTCTATTCCATTCGAATCCAAACTTATCCCACAAGAGTTATGGCCACTGTTATAGCAAAGGATAATTTGGATTGTGCCATATGTAAAATAAGCCATAATGTTCCAGCAGAAATGAAATGGAAAATGGAGAGAGAGAGAGAGAGAAAGGGTGGAGGAGCAAAGAAAAAGAGACGAGAATAGAGATGATGAGTTCGCAGTTGGGAAGTGATAAGAGCTAATATAACTTAATGATAAGGCAGTGATGAGGAAGTGGAAGTACTAATAGGCATATGTTATTGAGATATCTCGGGATGTACAATAGTGGTATAATTATTCCTTTGAGCATAGCTGATTGGAGAGTACGATGAAAACTGAATTTGGTCGAAGACAAAAGGTTATCATTTTATTATCTGCTAACAGCATATATTCTTCATCGATTATATCATTCATTAGCATCAGTTCTACTTTTTTTTTTGTTTCTCAGTTTTTTCGCATTACTATTCAATGTTCAAAATGTTCATGAAGGGAGTAATTACTGTTTTATCTTGTTTTATTAGCACAGCTAATACAATTCAATTTGAAGAATTAAGGTTCAAAAAAGTTTAAGTATCATTTCCTATTATGATAAAAGATTATGAGAAAGAAAGAAAAAAAAATGCTGTCATTAAGTTTTGTTATAGTTATTTGTTTCAGGAGAAATATGATACAATAATGTTCGATGTGCTAAAAGTTCCACCCGAGGATATTGCTAGTCAAATTACTCTCATTGATATTCCACTCTTCAGAGCAATCACTTCACAGGTATGATCAATTCTTTTATTGTAATGTATTACATTAAACAATATGTAACGAAATTATTAAAAAAATTTTTTTACTCCATTGATTGATTGCTATTGATATTTTAAAATGCTAAATTTTTAAGGAACTATTAAAGGGAGCATGGACAAAGAAGAGTAAACATTTGGATGCATCGAATATAGTTGCATTCACTGATCGATTCAATTCAATTTGTTTATGGTGTCAGCGAGAAATTTTATCACGTGAGAGAACTGTTAAACGTGCAGAGGTTCTTGGACATTTTATTAGAATTGCAAAGGTATTGTTTTTATAAACTATGGTTCGAGATTTCTTTTGTTATTATTTACTTGCACAAAATTTATTTAGTCACATTATTAATATGATATTTTTTCAGCATTTGTACGATTTGAATAATCTCAATTCAACATTTTCCATTGTGAGTGCTCTGCAGAGTCTTTCTATTTATCGCTTGACGAAAACATGGAAAGTGAGTTTAATTTAGTTTTTGCTGTTTTCAGATATAACACTATCTAAAATTATTTCGAAATTGAAATTTTAGCTTATTGATCGATCAGAACATGGAATTCTTATCAAGTTGCGGTTGTTATTTGACAGTGAACGTAATTGGGAACGTTTACGAGAGCATTTAAATTCAGCTAAATTGCCATGCATACCTTATTTAGGTTATTGTTTAAGTTGCATTTTTCGATGTTTTTCAAATTAATCAACTTTGGCGTTTACGGTGACAGTCATTAGCATGAGTGCTTCTGATAATAGCAATCTACCTTTTGCAGAATGGTACTCTTAGAAGCATTTCACTTCAAATTTACTTCAGTATTCTTCAAATTCGTTCATGGCTTACCCCACAATATTGATATACACTAGTTATTTTTTTCAGTCAAATTAATTTTAGGTTTGTATCTTACTGATCTCAATTTCATTGACGCTGCTCATGGTACTATAAAGAAAAATTGTACGGAATCTGAAAACATAGACCGGAAGAAAGACGAAATTTTAGCTCGCATTTTATATTTTCAGAAATCACTTTATGGTGAGTTGCATTTTTCTATTTTACAGTAGATTTTTTCTTCTCAAATTAGACAATACCTTCTACTATTTTAATAAATGAATGCATTTTCTGCAGATAATTTGACATGCATGGAATACTTGCAAAAATATCTTTCGTCATTCAAAATTCATGATGAGCCAGCTAAATTTACAGAGGATGATTTGTTCAGGTAATTTTGTATTTTCTGCAAGGAATTATCTTTTCTGAAATTATAACTTCAATAACTTTATATTTAGTTGATGTCTTCTATTAGTCATCGCTAAGCATTGTAATTTTTGTCTCATTTCACGCCTGCACGTGAAAACACTAATGCAGGAGTGAATCTTGTTTGAGATATATATTTAGTGTTCTTTGCTACACAGTCATTGGTATTCTGTAGAAATGAAATCTTTATCAAGTTCTGTATATTTTTTTCGGTTATCATTAGCGCGTGAAAGTGATGTACACCGTACTGCATCGTCATCGCCGGCGGTTGGTTTCCTACGCCGTGCATCATTGTCGCGAACATTATTAGCAATTAGTCGACTTCGTTCAAATTTGTCACCCTTTGAGAAAACTGCTCAATCATTGACTCCCCAGCTTTCATCAAGAAGCCGTAGTCGTCATGCCACCATTTCTGATCATCGAAGAGCTCGCAGCTTAGGTACTGAACTAAATACTGGGTAGGCTTTCTCAAAGTATGTTTTTAGAAAATTTCAAATTCTTCCACACTTTACACCTTTACTCTTTCACATTTACAAATTTTTCAAATATTTAGTGAATGCTACGAGAAGCGAAATTGTTTCAACTACATTTTAGAAGACCAGATTCCCTAGGATAGAGATTATAATAAGCGGTGAGAAGCGTTTTTGCAGATAAATATTAATTTTTTTTTGATTTCAGAGAAGTAAATCTATCGTTTTCTCTAAACACAGACTTGTTTCATTCAGAAAATGTTGAAGGTAATAATTTCCTTCTTTTTTCTAACTTCACGCATAACTTGAGAAGTTGTATTTTTAAGTTATGTGTTCGGTAGAAAATATTCCTATATTTATGTCATCACAAATGGCAATCAAAAAGAAGTCATTAACTAAGTGAATAATAAAGCAAATTTTATAGGCCGAGAGTCGCCGATGTCATCGATCCATACATCTGTCAAAAATGAGACCATTTCTGCACATTCGCCACGTCTTATTGAGCCCTTGTCATCATTTGTTCCTTTGAAAACATCTACCCCTCTGCGGCTTCCACTAAAATTATCGCCAACAACTCGTCTCAGGTTATATTTTTAATTTTTTTGAGGTTTTAAACTTTAATAGGTTTACTATTCATTTTTTGTCGTTCAAACTCATAATCACTTGCTTTTCTAGTTCATTTGGTGGTGAAAATAATATAGATCGATTGGATCGATTGCATCTTATTGATGATGATGATGATGATAATGATAATGACTGCAAAAATTCGGAGTACGAAGGCGAAGCTACTGTCGTTATTGTCCGCAAATGGGGCATCAGGTCACCTATGGTATCTGTTGTCTTTGTTAATTGGAATTTATGAAGAAGTTTCATGTGAATTTGTTTAAATAAATTAGTTTTTTTTAGAAGTAACCATAACTTCATTGAATCTAATTTTCTTTTGCATTTATGATTTAGATGAAATGTAGTCAAAAATGCTATCTGGAATTACGCAGTTCACATTTACATCAGTTCCGCCGTCGAAGTGTTAACATTCGATGCAAGAGTAATCGCGATACTTATTATAAAAAAGCAAGTAAGATAATGAAATTAGAAGAAAATGGATGGTGTGTCACATGTTGCATTAATTCAACGGAACCGTCTTTCGAGATGCATCACTCACCAACTGGTAGGTTTCCCAAATTTCGGAACTATTTCTGTGAAACAGTCTGACATCACTTTTGTCTTTTTTTTTTTTATTAAGTCATCATTATTGAGTCAGCTTGTTGATTTTCAGGTCGAGTATACCGTTACATATGCAAGAACGAAACAGATGCTACAGAGTGGTATAAACATATTCGAGCAGCATTACTTAGAACACCAACAAAGCCCACAAGTTTTGATTGAATTCTTGCTGATGTTTGAAAGTCAAAATTTCTATCAGGTTTGTTTTTACACACAAGAATTATAAGCAAAAATATTTTTACTTTGAAAAAACTCTGTTCTCTTTGTTATTTTTGGGTATTACTAAACATTGTGTCAGGTATTGTGTCAAGTAGAGAAAGTTATGTTATAGGAAATGCTTTATCCTCTGATCATTGTTCGTTTGTGTTTACTTGTTGTCTTGTTTATATTTTACAAAGTTCTTTCAGTTGTCCAGATTTATAAAACGCTCTCAGAATGTTATTGTATCTCTGGATATTATAATTTTATTCCTGAATTGTTTCGATTTGGTAATGGAAATGGCGTAGAAAATTTATAAAGATGAGGACTCTCACGTTTCTGATCTAAATTTCTCAAGATTTTCCTAATATCTGCTTTTAAGTTAGCCACTGATATTATATAATATAGAGATCACTCCCATCTTTTGACAAAAAATTCATTTTTGCAAATTTTCGTTTACATGAGGTTTGATTTTAGCAATATGGTTAAGATGTGCATTAAATGTGAGATGAATGTCATGAATTTATATCACCTTTATATTTTTTTTAACGAGCTTTTTGTCGGAGTTTTAAATTATCTAAAAAAATTGATTTTTTGCCTCATCTATTTTTTACTTATTGTATTTGTATGCTTTCTTAATTCTGTTCTTCCTCGTTTGCATGTTCTGTTCTTATCAATTAAACCATCTTTTCAAATGTTATTAGTTGTCATCTTCTTCAAAATTCTTAAAGAGCATAGTTAGGGTTTTTTTTTTAATACGTTAATGAGTGATTAAAAAGTACTAACTGATGTTTTGTACGAAATTTTTTTTGACAAAAATGATAGCTATTTGTTTTTTGAAATAGATGATTTTGTTACACGCTATTCATTGCTTCAATTTCCTTTCGATCTCATATATTTCATTCTTTCATTGCTGTATTAATTCTTTGATACTATTTTCCCTAATTTCTGAAAATATCTATTATATTTTTCTTACTCCTATGATAATCTTTGAACCTATCGGGTTGAAAGTGCTTTCGATTATCCATAGTTATGAAATAGTTTTCATTGGTGTCATAGAATTATATTTTCTTCATCGTTTTATACACGGGTTTCGCTTTTCATTATTCGAATCTCGTTATGCCTTTTTGACACATTACGTGGCATTATGTGGCATAATCAATGTGATTTATTTGTGTTTAATCTTCAACTATTCTCAAAACAAATAAATCTGATTTTATAAATCTGATATTTTTTTATGAAAAATTTCCTGTCGATGGCTAGTTTTTAAGCCTCCTTTTCAGGATATTTTTTACTGACCATATCTTTGCAACAAATAGGAAAAATACGTTAAAAACATTAAGGCAAGTCATCATACTATGTTTTCTAATTAAAAGTGTAAAAAAAAAAACTAAAAAAAAGCAAAATTTTGGTTGTAATGTAGCATTATTGGTGCATTTATATGCGTAAATTACTACTTATTCGCATTTTAAATCATTAAATCTTAAATTTATTCTTAATCAGTTTAAAGGAGAGGAGGAGAATTCGTTAAAAAAAAAAAACGACTTAAAAAAAGACATCAGTCAGTTTTTGTCTGATGTGACAGATTTTTATTCATTTGTACAAAATATGTTATTAAGAGATTAGGTTAATTTGGGATAGCAAATTTTTTACGTGCTCAAAAAAAATGTTGTAGAATAGATCATATAAATCACGATTGAGATAGATGAATTTTGAATGTTGAATGTTTACCAAAAACTGAAAGCATGATATAAAATAATCATATTACAAAAACATAAACCAATTACAACAAAGCAGTAGAGGTAATCCAGACAGTTCTCTAGTCTAATTACTAATATCTTACACTACCTTAACAAGTTATTAGTAACTGGTTAGTATCTACATTAGCATCCGTTTCTATGAAGTACTACGTTTATATTTATGCAAACATTTTGTAATAGGATATTTTTTTTTAAATCACTTATATATACTTACAAAATTTTAAATCACTTGTATATTAATTTTTACGTGTATTTATTCACATCTATATTCATTTATACTTATATAAATTGTTTTATGTAAAGTAATTTAAAGAGATCAATCCAATAAAAGAAGTTGTGCGCATGTGCAATGCTGGAAATATTAAAGATTTGGCCAGTTTGCTGAGTTAGGAGCAGTAAAGTTTTTCTTTGTAATTGGGTTTACCTGAATCGGTATTGCTGTATGCATTTGCAGGTTATGGTGATCAGATTCACATCAAATGTTACCGATCCACCAGTGATGTTATATATGGGTATTGATAAGTTTGAAAATGAAAATTTGATAAGGTGGAGATCTATTAAAATAATATTGCGCTTCGAAGACTTATGTAAAATGCTTTTTTTGTTTTGCTTGTAATATTGAGTTCAGACATGGAGAGGTCGGGTAATAGCGGTCAAATGACAATAATTTGACAGCAAGTTTGGAAATTTGTGGTATTTTGAAAAAAAAATGGAAAATTAATCAATTAATATTTTGAATTATGTATAAAAAATTCATAGATAATATGCAGAGAACTGTAGAAATGTATACAGTTACTTTCAGATGGGGTTGGCCTGAAGATGTTTGGTTTCATGTTGACAAAGTGTCATCCGCACATGTATATGCTCGTCTTCCTGCAGGACAGACAATCGATGACATGCCAGAAGCTTTAGTTGAAGATTGCGCTCAGTTGGTGAAAGCTAATAGCATTCAGGTCATCAGTTATTTAAATTCCGCTTTAAATTCTTTAAATTCCACTTTAAATTCCGAAGATATGCAATTCCATCTCAGCTCTTTTCTTAAACAAAAAAAAAAATTTTAGTTTAAAAGTGTTGTAAATTCTAAACTGATATTGTAAGAGTTCTAAATATAAGGAAGCTTCATTTCTTTTCAGGGCAACAAAATGAACAATATTGATATAGTTTATACCCCTTGGGATAATTTAAAGAAAACAGGCGATATGGATGTCGGGCAGATTGGTTTCAAGGATGAAAAAAAAGTGAAGAAGGTGATTTTTTCTGCAGAAAATAAAGTGTCAGTTATATTAAACTACATGCATATTTCGTATGCTGATGTGATAATGCTCAGCTAAATATTTCCATAAAAAAAGTTACGATATTAAATTTTTAAATTTTTAATTTATTTGTTAGCAAATTACTGGTGGAATTTAATAAATGAAATCTAGAAATTCATTGCAATTATTTCTAGATCTGACTGTTTGGCTTTTCTGTTTTTTATTTAAAGCTATTCATAATAATAGCTCTTTTGTTTGATTCCTTATTCAAGTTCTGGATATTAAATCCTCGTAATTTTTAGATACGTGTTGTGAAACGCATAAATGATATTGTTAACAGGTTAAACAAAACTGAAGTACGCGTAGATATTGATTATCGAGTTGAAAAAGAGGAAAGGGATGCAAAAGAACGTCAGATTAAGGTAATATATTTACAAGTACAACACATTACATTACAAGTGTTTTTAATCAGCATCAAAGAATCCTAAAAGTCAAATTCAATTGTTTGCTAATTTTTCTGTTAATTCTGAATGATCAAAAGTTACAGTTATATTTAACAAAAGTATTCGAAATTAACTGCTGGTTTTCAGTTAATTTGGCAAATTTTCACTTGGTATATCTCCAAAAAAGCTTATACTCTCAAGCGAAATGTAATGCTATCATGTGGATAAAAAAAAAATTCCATGAATCTTCAACCCTCTTGCAGTGTTCTTAGATATGAGTTTATCATTTGATATAAAAGCCTTCTAGAGCGATAAATTTAAGTGATTGATCAATTGACTACATAAACTAGTCATTTCTGTTCTAATCATTTCAAGTTGATAATTTTTTGAATTCCTTTTAGAAACAAAAGCAACGCGAACTCAAAGAAGCCGAAAAAGCAGAAATAGAAAGAAGAGAAAAAGAACGCAAAATGCGCTCCTATGATAGTGTTTTCAGCGAGGAAAAGATGCATTCGAATTATGATGGTGGTAACGATTCTGATGATTTTATGTGAACAGTTAATAGCTTGTTTTCTATCTTTTAGAGTTATCCGATTCTTCGGCTACTATTCTCATTTATTGTAACTTTTTTGAAGTGACTTTTTGTGGAGTATACTTTTTTATTTCTACTTGATAACATTGGAAGGCGGTTGTTCTCGGATGTTGCTATGATTTATGAATCTTAACGATTCTACTACTTGTTAGATTTTTTGTGCATTTACTTTTTGCTTGTTAAAGCTGCTAACTTTCAAAAATTTTATATTTCTTGTTTTACACCATATACACCATTAACAGCAGATAAATCTTCAGGGATTAAATTACACAATGTGTAATTTTGGAATATTAACGAAATTTTCTCTTGTGTTTTAATTCTTTTTATTTGTTATGGATTCGGCGGCAATTCTGGTTGTTAACAGGATGATGTGACTACTTTCATATTCAATATAATATGGCATTAAATCACGAACAATTTCATTAAATGTTGGCCGATCTACAGGTTGTTTTCGCCAACATTGTAAGATAATGTTATAGATATAATAAGGCATTGCCGATGGTTTCTCCATTCGATGATCGTCTGAAAAATTTTTTTGACATTAAGAGATGAAAAATCTCCCTTTAAAGAAAAGGAATAGACGAGATTCAGTGAATAATAACCAGGACGAATCAAGAATTTTGTTGCAATCATTGGAATTGAAGTTTTGTTTCAATTTCATTTAAATAGAGTATATTATTGCAAAGTGCTACAATTATCATCGATGTATTAATCTTAAAATGAATACCTTTCAGAAAAGGTAACACTTTTTCGTTCGGTAGCATTCCGTATGGATCAATTACACCATAAATTTCAGTAGCAAGTATTGCATATGCCCACACATCTGATTTTGTGCTTAGCTCTCGACGATGTAACACTTCCGGTGGTAACCATTTGAAACTGCAATGATATGAATTACAGTTCAAATATGATCGTTAAATACGTCAATGAATATAAGCTGAATTAAATTTGCTGAAAATCGCTGCGCAACTTACGGCATTTTTTGTGGATCATCGGGGAAGAAATGTACTTCGTGACGAGTTGTTTTTGATAAACCAAAATCACTTATTTTCAACAAATATCTGTAAAATTCAGAATTTTCGAATGCAATAAAATGTATAATGTTCGTTGGCCTGTGAAGACTCGTTAGGTTTAATCATTATTATCCTATAGATGATAAAGCAGACTAAAATTACACAGTAAAAATGATATACTATCAACATGCCTTGTTTCATCTTTCGGATGATGACAAATCAAAACGTTACGTGCAGCAAGATCACCGTGAACAATTGGTGGATCAAGTGAATGAAGATGTGCCATACCACGTGCTATTTGCGTGAGAAAATCAACATGTTCATTTGCTGATATGTTATATTCATGTGCCTAACATTATATTCTCATTAATGCTATCAAATCAATATGAATGATTGTAAAATTGATAATATTCCATATGAAAAGAGTTTATATGGTTGAGAACAAAATTTACATATTTTCTCTGATTTAGATGTAATGCTGGAAATTTGTCCAAAGTGAAAATAACCTTAATGAAATCAGCTAACGATCCAATATCCATAAGTTCGAATGTAAGCATTGCATACTCTTTTGTTTCATCATAACAAAAACCGTAGAATTTCGTCACATTTGGATGACTTATTACCTGAAATTTTTTACCTAATCTAATCAGTGTTGGTCAATTACTCATAAATTTTACATTTCCTCTCTTCATACCTTCTTTCTTTGCTTTCGATCAAAAATTATTAAATTTGAATTTGAGGAGTTACATATGTAGTTTGAAAACTATATATGTAACATCTTTGTAGTGAATTCCAAATTTTTAATAAATTGCCTGCAAAATTTCCATCTCAGAAATCCATGGTTGCCGATGTTCCGCGTCCGATGCAGTCATTTTCAGCTTTTTAATAGCAACATTTACCTAAGAGTATGTTATTTTTTCTATCAGTGAAAATGTACTAAGCATCAGAAAAAAAAATATAATAAAAAAGTATTAAAAAGAATGAAATCTTTATTTAAATTGTGAACTGAAATCATTTGTAGAATTCAATTTTAATTATTATTATTGTATTGATACGTTACGTTATTAGAAAAAAATCCTATTTATACTACGCTATCTTTTATGATATCGATTATCTCTAAATTTAATATTAGATTTGAAAATTATTCACTACTTCGCCATCAGCTGTTTCTAACTTTCCACGATATACTGCACCGAATGCTCCTGATCCAAGCATATCTTCCGAAGAATATTTCTATAATTCAGAAGTTGAAAATCTCGAAAAAAAAAGAAGAGTTTTCATTTAAAATTACAAGAAAAAATTGCTATGTTTAAGGAAAAAAAAACTATTTCATTATGTGAGCAGATAAATTTTTCTAAAACAGCTCAAATAGAATGATAACACAAATTATGAACTAAATTTGCAAGATTGATTTCAATGGTAGCATTTGTTTTCAGTATTGATTCATCGATTGGTACAGGATCAGGAATTGAATCCTGAAAGAAATATTTGCCTTGTTCGATGATAATCAAAAATGGATATGATAAAAATGTCATAATTCAATAGCATGAAGATAAAATAGAATTAGGAAGTATCTGATTAGCATATTATTTGAGTAGAGTAGAAGTATCAATAATTTGGAGAAATTAGCTTGGAAAACTGGAATACTGTAAAAAAAAAAAAAAAATTAGAAACAGATTATTGAAGGGAAAAAAATTAGGAATAGATTATTGGAGAGAAATTGGAAGACTTTAGCAGATTGTAAATTTTTTTTTGACATAGAATAACGCTTCATGTAATTTCGAGCTTCTTCGATAGCATCACTGTTGAGTTCTGCAGAATGAGCAAATTCCAGGTGTGACTTCTTGAAAGGATCAAAAATTGAACGAGAAATGAACGAAAATGATTGCGATAAAAGTGCCGGTTCTGTTATCTAAAATGCAAATATCAATCAATACGCATACTAAAATACGATCAAATATTACCACTATTGATCTGTCTATTAATTTGATAGAATTATTTTATCAAAAAAAAAAAAAAAANAAAATTTTTAAATATTACTACTATTGATCTTTGCTCTGTTAACTTGATAGTATCATTTCATCAAAAAAAAAAAGTTCATTTTTTAATTATCAGTTTTGAAAATTTTCATTTGAAAGGAATAAAAATGCTTTTCTCGAATTGTTAGTACCTGATCAAAATGTCGCGCTGCCCATTGCTCACTTTTCATTGTCATTGCATAAATATCGCGAGTTGGTGAAGTGAATGGTGCTGGAACACTGTGGAAAAAAACAACTTGCTGCTAAAAGTAAAATAATATTTCGAAATTTTTTTAAGAAAAAAAGTATTTTTTGCCCGCAGGAAATTAAGTCTGTAACTTTGTAAGATGATCTCCTAAAAAAAAAAATTCAAATTTTAAGTTGCTGTAGCCTTAATCGACTACAATTTACTTATTTATGGTTTTTTTTTTCTTTTATTTAATCATTCTACTTTCCAGCATGAAATTTAATGCTCAAATAAGAAAATTCCACCTCGGCAATCAATAGTTTGCATTTTTTAATGTAGGACATTTACTGATTATTTCTGACCTTTTTTGTTGGACCATAATCAAGTTTGTGCGGAAATGTTGATTGATAATTTGTGTAGTAATAAACTAAGTCATAAAGTGTTGAGAATTGCCGATTAAATAGCAAATAACGTCCAATTCGACTGCGGCGAATTGTATAAGTCTAAATGATAGTAATTTAGATTAATTTATTTAGCAATACACTCATTTATTTGACTATTTAATTAATCAATTATCTGTTTTAATTGTCTTCACAGTTCAAAATTCAATAATGCAAATTTTTTAAAATATATTCGTATTCATGTACATATAAATTGTGTTGTTATTGAAGATTAATTAAAGTGATAATAATCAATAAAATTCGAAAGTTAAATCTCTGTAAATTTTTTAAAATTAAGCTTAAAACTTCATACTTTAATGTAAAATGGTAATGATGTATGTTCAAAGCGTTCTGGATCGATTTCTACCTTTTCGACGTCAAATTTATTTTTATTTTTATCCTCTCGTTCAATTAATTTCTGCAATTTCATCTTATTGCATGATAGAAAATATTCAAATTTTATTGAAGATTTCCACTATCAATAAATAGGATAATTTGGATCCGTAAAAGTTATTTTTTAACCTTTCTCAATATGAAATTACTAACAATCATTGTTTAGAGATGATAAGTTAACCTTTTGCGTTTGATCTTCCGTGGCAGGTGAATGTAAAACGGAAACTAATCGTTTATTTAAGTCATTTAGTGCTCCCTTTGTTGCTGTAATGTTATTGTCGTTTTTTTTTACAAATTCAAAATTCAAATTAAAGTAATTATTATTAATTTTACACTTTCCTAATAACCACTAAATTTCAATTCATATTCAGAAATTGATCGTAAGTTTTTCCATTGAAAATGAATTCTTTACTATCATTGTTTATTTCATTTTTTTTACATGAAAAAAAAGTGATAGTTTTTTAACCTATAATTTGATCCGTGTAAGTTTTTATCATCTCATTCATGATACTGCTGCTTTTACAGCACATAACAAGAATGATAAAAGGTCGATGATCACGAGCATCAATATTGAGCCAAATTGGTGAAAAGATAACAAATAATCCTTGAAAAAAAAAAACAAAAAAAATTTTCAATAATTTTTATTTCACATCAATTTTATTTCTGCCCAATTCTTGTCAATAAATTTTAAAAATACAGGAAAAAAAATAAACATTTCTTTGCTTTTAACTGACTACATTCTGTTACTTCGAAAAAAAAATTAAAATTCGACAATGATCATTCAAAAAAAAAAAAAATTTTTTTTTACCTGGCCTATAAGAGCTACGATCTTCCAGAAGATAATTATAAGCAGTGTTAATATCACAGATTCCCAAAAACCATGTTGGATTAACAAACAATCTTTTATTTGCTAAAATAAGTTAAAAAATTTTTTTGTTCATTTAAAAAGTGAACATTTAAATAGTTAAATTTTAATAAATGATAATGATAGTTATAAAATGCAAATTTTACCATCATAAAAATTTTTCTTAATAAGCCAACAAGATGGTATTAGTCCAATATTTGATTGAAATGATCGATTTCTAATCCATCGACCTAATGACCATTGCATTGGAAGTCGAAGAAATGTTCGACCATCTGATGTTACACTATCAATTTCACGAACCCTAAAAGTCTCATTTTAGCTTATCTTAATTGCTAGAAACACAAAAATTATCATTTAGTATAAAAATTATCACCTAGTTTAAATTAGTTTAAATTCATTTGACAAAACAATAATTGTTAAATGCTTGAAAATTTTTGATATTATATTTTTTCAGAAAATTGAATTTTTGAAAATGATGTAATGATCTTTTTTTTCCGATCACTCTGTTGATTAATTATGAAAAAGAGAAAGTGCATTTATAAATCACTGAAATTCTTCGCAAAGCACATTAATTTGATCGCCTGCTGTGCAATTAATATCAAGGCATGATGTACCACCGAAATAATCCCAAAGTGCGATATGCGGTACCTGAGATAATCAATAATCTATAAATAAGCAAGAAAAGCAATGAAAGCATTGGATGAATTATTGTTAGCATTGTTGTTCCTAACACAACTTGAAAAGGACTCTATTAATTTGAAAAAAAAAAAAAAATTTAACTTTTCACTTTAACTTCTGAATAGCAACAATTAATATGATATCTCTGTTGATTAAATTTTATCAATTCTTATTTTAGCAAAATTTAGATTTGCAAGATGTACGAATTTTGAGAAATTTATATATTTCAAACTTACATTTAGCAAAAAAGTTGAATTTTTTTTTTTTGCTATTTACTGAAGATTTTATAAGTAATGAAATGCATTTGCAAAAGAAAAAATAAAATATTTACCTGAATTGGATTTGCTTTGATACCTCTAAATTTTTGCCACCATGAAAGTTCTTGTACATTTAAAGTGAAATTAGCAGCTTCTTCAAATGTTTTGAAAAGCAAATCATCTCGTAATGGAAGACCACTTACGTCTAATCCAAATCTATAATTGTTAATGGTTACAAAAATAGTGCTTTACTGAATAAGCTTACTGTATTCGAACCATTCTACAATTTAAAATTTCGTTTAATTGAAATTGAAAAAGTCTGCTAAATATTTAATAATAATTTCTTTAAATAATAAATCAGAAAATGCAAAAAAAAAAATCAAAATACAATTTATCTGTTTATTTGTTAGATAAATTTTTAGCAATATCGTTTTTTTTTTCTATTTCTTTTACTCGAAAATCATATTATTATTCAAAAAAAAAAATAAGGAAATCATTATTTAAATTATAAAGTACTTACTTGTAAAGTCTTTGAGCAAACTCAGCATCATCCATGTATAATTCATCCTCATCATTTCCATCACCAATTGCAAATTCAGGTTCATTAGAATATACCGATGAAAGATCTGATGCATCATCTAACTTATCATTGATACGATAAATGGCATTCGTTGGAAGCAAAAAAGTATCACCTTCTGCCAAAATGTATTTTCCCGTATTAGACATCACTTAAGAACAAAATATATGATAATGATTGGATCATCACTTTATCATTTATTTATTTTTTATTTATGCATAAAATTGTAACATTTAAGTTGCTCCGAGAATAATAAAAATTGAAATATACTGCTTAGTATAAAGTATATACTAGTTTTAGAATACGAACATTTTATGGCTAATTTAAGCAAAAAAAAAAACGGAAAAATCAAATTCCTTTTTTTTTAGAGGAAGAATTTTTATATTTTCCAAGCATTAAAAATTATCACAACAAACCGTTTCAACATTTCAATGCTAACCTAAACAATATCAACGTTACGGGTACAAACAACACATTAACAAATAATAAATTTTGACTAAATTTGATAAGTGCCGAAAAATTTATTTCCACCATTTTAATAATCCTCGAATGGTGCAAAAAAAATTTACATATTTTATTCAAATGAAACATTTAGCATTTTGATGATGTTAATATTAAGTCAGTCGTTTCACATGAATATCATTGTATTTCATTTAGGTACTTTTAGTACACCTCAATTTTATAACTTATATTCGAGAAATTTCGCAAATAATACGAGCTTTTTCTAGTTAACTTCTGGAAAAATACTGGTCTCGACTGATTGTATTACAAAGACAAACTGAAATACAATTAGAATGCAACAATCTGTTATGGCAATATTTAAACAAATTTAATCTCTCAAGACGAATCTCAAAAATGTCTTCAAAAATTAATTTCAAACACTTCCATACTCAGAAAAAAAATTTTTGCAATAATTTTCTGAAGATTAAGGAATTTTTTTTTGCAAACTGATTTTCATTAATTTCATCATCAATTATCATTTCCAATATTTCACCTTTCCTTTTTCAACAACGATGCAATCTTTCATCATTTCCATCATTGGCTGATATTTTATCATATCATTAATATCCATTTTACTATCATTAATCTCCATTTCATCATTTTGTCATTTTGTCATTCTTCAATCAAATTAATCTTGCAATTTAATATTCATTTTGGGATTATTTGAAGTTCAGTATATTTCATAAAAATGAATCTGAGAAAATTTATAAGCTTACAAGTTGAAAATTTTGTAAGAAAATTTGTAAGTTAAAATTTATAAGTAAATAAACTAAGTAAGCTTTAGATGAACATTTTAAAGTGTTGCTCTCAAAAAATACAAGTTTCAATAAAAAGATACATAAATTTGTTTGCTAAAAGTTCAGCAGATTAGTTAGAAATACCAGAAAAGAAAAAATTTCAGTTCAGTGGATTATTGAAAAAAAAAAGGGATGTAATAATTTTAATTTTAAGGAATATAATTTTACGTTAGAAAATTTCAGTAAGAGCTTCTGATCCAAAATGTAAATGAATATTACTTTTTTTTTTCTTCCTAATTTCTTTTGCATATCATATTTACAAATATGATTTTATAATTTTATATTTATAAAATTCGAGACGATAAAACAAATTTTACATGATCAAGTAGCATTTTTTCTCAGTTGAATTTTTAACATGATTCAAAAAAGTCAATAATTTAGTAATTACAATATTTTTGAATAGCATGATTGTGAAGTTTCATTAGCAAATTTTGAAAGGCATGTCATATCAGTCCTTTTTTCAACGATTCCGTTTTTATCAATAATAATATTAATTCAATAGAAAATAGAAGAGATAGAATAAGCGTTCGGTTCATTCGTTATATGAAAATTTCAATACATTGTAATTTTCAGATCATATATTATATAGGAGAAAAGTATAAACATCTACCAATCCTGACCTTTTCCTTGGAAAATCATTGAATGACAATAGAAAGCAAATTTGAATCATTATACAAAAATTATTGGAACATCCTTGACAACCAGAGATGAAAAAGATCCATTTTCATAATGACAGTCCCCTTTCAAGAGGATATTCAAATAATTGGCTCTTTTTTTTTATAGCCTAATGTGTATACTTTAGAAATGACTCTGGAATTATTCGGAATTTATTGAAGTGCTATTGTAATTAAAGACATCATAACAGTTTTCGTTAACTATCAAACATTTATTTCTGTGTTCCAGACCAACACAATAATGAATAACTCATCTCACAATTCCTCCCGGATTTCATGTTGCAATTTGTTGAAAATTTGAATCTAAAAATGTAAATGAAAAATTAGCATATTTCATAACTTATTATGAAACAGAAATATTGAGAGTAATGCATGAAACAACTATGACACTAATTTTCAGGACTTTTCATACAGATCTGTTTGTCTGGGGTAGAATGAAATACTACGCTTATATTTGCATCACAAATAAATATAATGACGAAAATAAATTTTAGAAGTGCATGAGTATCACAGTTATTACTGTCATAATTCATAACTTTGTGACCCCTCTGAAATGATAGATTGCCATGTAATCGTCATAGAGAAAAGAAATTGCTAACCTCAAAGAAGCCAAAGAGCTAAGCAAAAAACAAAAACTTTCGAATAACTGATGACATTAGTGTTATAGGATGCATTTACTTATAAATCATTTCTGCTACATTTTTTTTCCCATATTTAATATAGACGAAAAATTCTTATAAATTAATAAAATAAATCTACAAATAAGATGAACTAAAGTAAAATAGTAACAGAGAAAGATTCCATATCGTTGCATTAAATTAAGCATTCATCAACATCATTAGTACAGTTATTGCTGTATTATCATCAATAATACCGAATATAATATAATGTACAAAGTATATTTTGGAGGTGACATTTCCCGCACAATAATATTTATAAAAATTGAAATTCGTTAAAATTAAAAAATTAGTTATTCCAATTCATTTCAAAAATTTACAATATAAAATATAGAAAAGAGGTAAAGTAATAATTTAACCAATTTGAACAAAAATTAATACCATTCACAGCAGGAGACTATATATCAAAATATAGCAAATTTCAAAGACAATATTCTGAATAAAATCACTGTATGGCTGTTAGTTGGATTTAAAATGATAATTTAGCACTTTATTAATAATCTTTTGTAAAGGTCATAGATATGATGCCACTTAAAACCTAATCTTGACATCCGAATAAATATATTTCTGAAAATTCATAAGACGACTTTAGATTTTTTACAACAATTTCAAAGAATGTATAAAAATTAAGCAACGAACTCTGCTCCGTAATAAGCGAAAGCTAACAGTTATCGATTGAATTTTTTCCAATGCAGTGATACGACATTTCATTGGAAAAAGAAAGATTACAGCAATAATAACTTCTAAACTCATGCTGCTAACTATATCTCTTAACTGTTCCTCAATAATATGGTTTCAAATCCTAAATATATTTACTTTAAAATAGTGTTAAAAACTTTTTTGCCAAATGTCCCATTCACCTTCACACAAAGAAAAATAATTATTTTTTGGAATATATATCACAGTGCAACAACACACAAATCTAAATTACCACATCTGAAATTATATCATTTTTTAGCAATCATCGTTGATACGTTAATTTGTAATATGATTAATGCAGAGGACACAAAAATAATATTTATATCAAAACAATGCTACAAAGTTGCTATCAACTATAGATAAATATATTTCAACCAATCTTTGAACCTCGCACATTACTGATGGAAAAAGAATAATAAGTCTACCTATATCAATATAAAAGACAAATTAGTAATTCGTTTGCAATTGTAAGAAAAGTTCGATTAAGTCAAATTTTCAAAAAGCGTCCGGGAAATTTTAGAATTATATTTTTTTCAGGATTTTTTGAAAAATAGAGAGCTTATAAAAATAATCATGCGTTAGCAATAATTACTATATGCAAGATGAAAAGTATAATAAGATGCCAAAACTTTTTCTTGACCAAATTCTAGCCATTCTTCTCAGTTAATGATTCTACATATATGTATACCAGTCATAGTAATATTGATATGGTCAGACGATTATAATGAAAGAAATTAATATTGATGACTAAAAATGTGATGTAAAAAATAATATGTTGGATTGACTGTTATTATATCATTATTGATTATTAAAAACAATAATAACTTCATTTCAAATATGGACCTACACAAAATCCCACCACTATAAATTTCATAAATGTAGAAAGAAAAGACCATCCTCATTTCGATTTTCGTAATCCGCTTGATATTTTAAGGTAGTGTCACTGCCAAGATGAAATGACGGTAAGGCACATTATTCTAATAATTTAAGATTCATAAGTAATTAAATAAACGTTCGATTTTGCAAACCTACAAACTCATAAATAACCGCTACTCCATCGCAGTAAATTACACCGTTTCATCTTATTTAATTTTTTAGTGGATGGTGCAATGTCGCCCGACATTGCCATTCGTTCTATATCACTTTTTCGTCGTAATACAAAATTCAACATTGATGAAGTAGGATCTGGTGCTACAGCATAATACGGATTACATTTCTCAGGCAAACAAAATTCACCTAAATAGAAAAATTTTTTAGAAAAAATTAAATAGAAAAAGCCTGAAATAAAAGGAGAAAATTCAAATCTACTAAGTATTATCATGCAAAAAGAAATAAGAAAATCTTTCGGTAATTAAGATTCAAATCGATCATTTCTAGAAGCTTAATAAATAGTGTTGCGAAACGAAACATAACATTCCATTAAACTTCTCTTGCTCTCGTTACTTTAAACAAAATTTGAGTACAACAAGAAAAAGCTCAAAGGATTTCAGGCCATCAAAAAAATCCTCGACTGCAAAGTTCATCAAAACTTACATCCATCGGGCAGGAGCTGCACAAGACAATATTCTGAATGATCACCATGGATAAGATGCTTTTCTAAAGTTCTTTCAATTAATTCCGCCATCCTATCACCATTTACGATCTGAAAACAGTTTGATTTCAGAAAAATAAAAAAGCAAACAGCAATCTACTAAATATTGACTTTATCTAGCAATTCAGAGAAGTCAAATGAAGATGGAATCATCTTTACATTTATAATAACCCTGTGGAACTCATTTGGCGTACATAACTTATTCATTCA